GCAGCCTCTTTTACCGAATGCTATACATGTCCGGCATCGAGGAACCCCAAACTTTCGCTAGCGACAAGGATTTGCAATACATCCTAGAGCAGTACAAGAAGCTTGAAGCGCGGCCTGGTGTCGCGGAGTGTTTCCAATTGCTCCGGGATGCTGGCTTCACGGTGTGGGCGTTGACGGCTGGGGATGTTGAGCGTGTTGGAGGCTACTTCACGCACAATGGTATCCATATGCCCAAGGAGAACTTCATCTCATGCGACACGGCCAAGATTGGTAAACCGGATCCAAAAGTGTACCAAATGATGATGGAGAAGCTGGGCAGTGATGAGAAATGGTTTGCAGCTGCGCATAACTGGGATGTTGCGGCTGCTAAGATTCACGGGTGAGTTGGCACTACCCGTCTACCTGCGCAGCTCCATTAACCATTCAACAGATTCAAGGCTGCGTATTGCACGATATGGGAGAAGATTCGTTGCGACAATCTCTTCGGCGAGATGGATGTGACTGCGGACTCCTTTCCCGAGATGGCTCGTGGTATCATAGCTGCATCTGATGCCGACTCAAATTAAGCCGTTTGCGTTTCGAAACATAGCGATGTCAGAACATCTCGCGCGATCTGGTCAGCTGCAGAAACTCAGAGTGCTGAACAGTCATGCCAAGTCAACGTCGTGCAGAAGGATTGCTCAGAACGCCGCTAAACATCTTCGTGTACTTGATGGGATGATATATGCATGACCTCCTCAGTCAAGCGAGTAATCACCCTTGCCGATCTACGTTTCGGCAAATGTTCTCCGTCCTCGTTATCGAGTGCATCCCCCACTCTATCATCGATAAGAATGAATCATGGAGCAGAACTCGCTAAGCACCCTGGAGAACTCCAGCCGTTGAGATGTTCAGGAAGTGGGGGAACCACCAGCGCGCTTTGCGCCGCGGCCATCTCCGTGCCTCATCATGTGCATACCCGTGTACCGTTGTCGGAAACGCTCTGTTATCTTCTTGTAACCATGTCAGACCGTCGTTTGGGCAAAATATTTGTGGCCTTGGTTTTGATAGGCAGTCTTCTGCGATCCGGTACAAGTACGTTTATGCAGCACACATCGATATCGCAACATGAAGAGCGACCGCACACCGGTAGCAGATCCCGTACACTCATTCTGGACTTCTGTATCCAATCCTCTTGATGACCTACTGAGTACGGATGACCTTTCCACTGAGGCAGACATTGTAATCATCGGTGCGGGATTTGCCGGGGTTGTACGTCTACATCACGAGTTGATTTCCGAACGCATATGTGCTGATTGCAATCTACTAGGCGACAGCTTATAATATTCTCACATCATCCTCGTCGTCCCCGAAGCAATCTGTCCTCATTCTAGATGCTCGCAAGATTTGTTTTGGTGCCACTGGTCGCAATGGCGGGCACGTAAAGCCAGACCTTTACTTCAACGTCTCGAAATATGTATCCATGGATGGTGCGAGCGCTGCAGCGGAAGTTACAAATTTTGAAGCGGCGAATGTGTACGCAGTCAAAGAGCTTGTTGAGGCTGAGAAGTTGGACTGTGACTTACATCTTACGAGAGCGATCGATGTGTATCTGGATGCCGATCATGCCAGGCAGACGGAGGCGGCGTGGGAGATGCTAAGGAGGGATAATATTGTCGAACTAAGAGACGTAGCTTGTGTCTCTAAAGAAGATGCAGAGAGGGTGAGCACGCTTGTCTTTCATAAAGACGTATGAATCGTAAGGCTAATTGTTCTTCCGAAGGTATCGGGAGTCAAGGGCGCTCAGCTGGCTGTCAGCTTTACTGCAGCGCACTTGTGGCCACGAAAGATGGTGCATCAATTGCTAGCGAAGCTACTCGAGCAAGACCATAAGCTCAATGTTCAAGCAAATACACCAGTGACGTCTGTATCCGACACGACGGACGAGGCAGGAAGATGGATAATAGAAACATCGCGCGGCACTATCAAAGCCACAAAGGTCATCCACGCCACCAACGGCTACGCGAGCCAAGTTCTGCCCGAATACACGCGAAGCATAACTCCGATCCGCGGCGTCTGCAGCCATATCGACAGCGCATTGAAGCAACACGCACCACATCTCAACAACACTTACGCCCTTCGTTTCGACGGCCGAAATTACGACTATCTCATTCCCCGAGCAGACGGAAGCATCATCGTTGGAGGCGCAAGGCAGCGGTTCTGGCACAAGCCTGAGCGCTGGTTCGACACCGTGCGCGATGACGAGCTTGTTGATGAAGCAACGACCTACTTCGACGGGTACATGCAGCGCCACTTCCGCGGATGGGAGGATACGCAAGCGCAGACAAAGAAGGTGTGGACTGGAAGCAAGTATCGTAGTCTCCTGCCCATGCGCAACTAACGCATTGAACAGTCATTGGCTATAGTGCAGACTTCATGCCGCATATTGGTTCAGTTCCAGATAAACCTGGACAGTTCATCATTGCGGGGTTCAATGGCCATGGGATGCCGCAGATACTGTTGTCGAGTAAGGGTCTGGCTGCTATGGTGCGAGATGGAGTGCCTTTCGAGAAAACTGGGCTACCGCGTTTATTCAAGACGACAAAAGAAAGGGTTGAGATGCGAGATAGCCCACTCGAAGATTCGTTCCGTCCGCTGTGGGAAGAGCATGCCAGGTCGAAGCTATAACGATTGCGTCTCCACGGTCGAGACAGTCAGCGCATCTTGGCTCAGAGTATTGAGGGAGTAGTTCAGACTCGGAAAGATTGGAGTAGAGATGCGTTGTTGCTACGTAGAGGTACGGTACGGTAGTGAGCGATGGCACCTGGGAATCGAGGTGCAGGTTGAGAGGACAAAGAAGTTGACGACAGACGCTAACCCGATTGAGCTACCTCGGCATTCAGCCACCGCAGTGTGGGGTCGTGCGGAACAGCCACAACTCCTCATCCCCTTTTCTCTCCTAGACGCCCTTAACGATCTTTCTTATCAACATACACACCGACTGAGTGATGAGCTCGCTAATGCTGAAGATGCTAACACATCCCTGCCAACATCTCTACCCGAGGGATGCAACGCCCATGTGCCTACTGGACAGCGCTGATTCGCATGGTACAACATGCTGCAGTCAGCATTCACTGTTGCATGTTGCAGACAGCCATGGTCGATAGCGTAATAGCGCGCTATGCTCGTTCTGAACAAACGTTTTGAGTATACAAATACGCGTAGGTCGCCGGCTCATTGTACATAATTGAGTGCGCAACCCTCGCTTTTAGCCTTCCATCCATCCTGTCTTCGGTATCTGCAACATGGCTTCCTTCGAACCGGAGTTTGATCAAGCCTACAATGGTGCGTACTGAACCTTCATATCCATCGTCGATGTGCGTAACTTGCTAACGCGCATCTCAGACCTTGCGTCATCGCTCGATGGCTCCACGGTGCTTAAACAGCATCCAGAGTACAGAGATGCTCTTAAAGTCTTTGCTGTTCCCGAACGCGTCATTCAATTTCGTGTGATCTGGGAGGATGACAGGAACTGCGTGCAAGTCAACCGCGGCTATCGTGTACAATTCAACTCAGCACTGGGGCCGTACAAAGGCGGACTGAGGTTTCATCCGTCCGTCAACCTCTCGGTGCTGAAGTTTCTCTCGCTCGAGCAAACCCTAAAAAATGCTTTGACAGGCTGTAAGTCTTACATCTCCAGTCAGTCAATGTCCAGATCTTTCTGACCATCGCAATAGTGAATCTTGGTGGTGCAAAGGGAGGGTCAGACTTTGACCCCAAAGGCAAATCTGATCACGAGATTCGTCGCTTTTGCGTGTCTTTCATGCGCGAACTGAGCAAGTACATTGGAGCTGATACGGACGTGCCTGCTGGTGATGTTGGCTGTACACGGCGCGAAGTGGGATGGATGTTTGGCGCATTCAAGGCGGCGACTACGAGGTGGGAAGGTTGCATCACAAACAAAGGAGATGCGTTTGGTGGAAGTCTGATGAAGCTTGAGGCAACTGGCTTTGGGCTGGTTCAGGTACGTCAAGCACCGAAAAGGCCTGATTTACTCGCTAACAGTACAATCACAGTACGTCTCTTTGATGATCGAATACGCTTCCGATGGCGCTGAGTCTACGCGTGGCAAGAAGGTCGCGATTTCAGGCTCTGGAAATGTCGCACAGTATGCCGCTATCAAAGCCATTGATGCGGGTGCTGTCGTCCTTACTCTGTCCGACAGTAAGGGGACGCTCAAAGCTATCTCTGTGGAAGGCTTCACAAAAGACGACATCGCCCTCATCGCCTCTATCAAGAAGAAACGCCTTCCACTTTCCGACATCATGGCAATGGAGCAGGGTCAAAGGTTCGAGCATCTCGAAGGCGAAAGACCCTGGAAGCATGTGAAGGAAGTCGATATTGCGTTACCCTCCGCCACGCAGAACGAAATGTCCAAAGACGAAGCAGAAGCACTGATATCTGCTGGCTGTCGCTTCATCGCCGAAGGCAGCAACATGGGCTGCGCACAAGACGCTATCCAACTCTTCGAATCGCGCAGGGCAGATAATCCGAACGGACGTGTGTGGTTTGCTCCAGGTACTTTGGCAACACCACTCTAAGTCTCATCAACTCGCTGATCCAATCCATAGGTAAGGGTGCCAACATTGGCGGCTCGGCAGTGTCAGGGCTCGAAATGGTGCAAAACAGCCAGCGCATCGCTTGGCCGGCCGCACAGGTCGAGGCTGAACTGTATCGCATTGTCGAATCATGCTTTCACAGCGGTATTGAAGCCGCCAAAAACTACACGGATATGCGCGCGGAAGACTTACCCAGCCTTTTTGTGGGAAGCAATATTGCCGGGTTTGTCAAGCTGGCGGATGCGATGCATGCCCAAGGAGATTGGTGGTGAGTCAAAGTACAAGGCATTCAAACATGGGTGACTACAACAGTATTACGATATCATATCATTCATTACTAGAACTATGGGCGAAAGGCGCTTGCAATGATTGACAAATCGCGATACTAAGAAACCCAAATCATCACCAGCTCGTAACGCAACGCTCCCTGTCGAACCCACCACGCAACTGCCGATCAGGCTTGACAACTTTTCCTTGCAGAATGGTGTACCGAACGATGTTCTCGCAATCTTCAGGCCGAACTCTCGCCAACCATATACACTGCTTTGCTTCTCTCAGTGGAAGTGATGCAGCGCCATCCGTACTCTCCTTTGCTCCATGAAATGGCAACGGTGTCCGACGATACACAATGACATTTGCGGCAAACTTGTGCCCACCAAAATGACTGACGAAGTGAACACCCACACCCCCGGGTCTCTCGTCAAGCGAGTCGCGATACAAATCTCGTTGCCGGAGATGGCGTTCGAATTCTTTCTTCAGGAGTGGTGCAGATTGACCGCACCGGGCATCGCGGGTCCGGTGACTGCACAGTAAGATGAGGTAGTCGTGTGGGCATGAGCGTATCTTCAGTCCGGATTCTGGCGGCACGCTAAGCGAGTTGAGCGGAAGCAATGACGAGGTATTGCATGGGCTGCGGTTGACGAGGTGTGATATGAGATCTGGTGTCCGGGATGGTGTGACGCAATCAACGATGACGAAAGCTGGGAGAAGGAGGACAGAAGAGATTGGTTCGTCGTCGGGATTCTTGTTGACGCTGTAGTCCGGTACGGGGATGTTGGATGCGGAAAGCATGAACTTCTAGAGGCTCTTGTTAGGCATCATCGCTTTTGATGTGGAGGGGTTTATTTTACCTTCTCGACCATATGTCCATGTGTCTTGGCTATGGCTTCTCCGATGCTGCCTTCCTCACTCATGAAATTGCTGATCCAATTGGCTTTGCCAGTCGCAACGAGGAGATGTCTCTCCCAAGGCATGACAGTACCGTACAAATTCTCGGTCTCATTGATCTTGAACTTCTCCGGGTATGTGATGTCACATGATGAACAGTCCTGAATGCACTCCGGCCCGTCTTTTGCCGGGGTGGTCGGCTCGAACAGTGGTGGTGGGCCACTGGCCACTTTCGGCAAAAGACTTGTCAAAAGACTCTCAATCGGTGCGACCTTTTGCGTGACTGGGGTGATGAGGAGGGGAAGTAAAGACGGCATCGTGGATGATACTTAAGACTCTTTGAAGATACTCAAGCCGTAGGAAGAGATTGATAAGATGCTGTTTCGCTTTCTTATACGTCGTCCAGGAGTGTCATTGAGGGTGACAATCTCATAGCACGGATGCTCTGGTCAATGACATCATAAAAATGCTATTGAGTGAACATTGGCACACACATTAGCATGCAAAGTTCGTTCATCAAGATCGCCGTTACGAAAACCTCGATCCTACTGAAGATGAGCGATGTCCAGGATGTTGCACGTCAAGAATCCCCTCGACGTGACATCATACCAACTACTCAGCGCACTGATATGATGCTTTACCTTCACGGAGATCGCAGGCATCGGCTGCGATCGATGCTAGAGCTGACACTACAAGCTGTGGTGATACGAACCTCCATGCCGCGGTGTACGCATACAAATGCACAAGACCAATAACGGACCGCCTAAACGCACGCTCGGCTGACGGAATTGCAGCCGAAACCGTCGAAGTCTCCATTACGAGATACTCGGCCGTTCATGATGAGCCAAGCTATGCAGGTCGTGATACATGGGTACGTGTAGGGGTCACACCAAGCGATCAGCATGGGTCTGATACATTGAGTGAAAGTTGGAAGCTTACATGTCCTGCAGTCGATCGAACCAGAATCCTCGATGAGCTGCAGGCTAATTGCGAAGTTCGTCATGCGGGGAAACAGATTGTCTTACAGATAGGCGTCAGGGGCGTCAAAAAGACATGGCAGGACATACAGGTTTAGCATGCAATCACCGGTTTCTGTCCGTACCCGGGCGTTCATCCCCACATTCTTCGACCCAAGTTTGAGGCCAGTAGCGTCATAAACTAAAAGTGGTTCTCGTTTTGGAGTATACACAATGGAAACAGTCGGGGTTTACTCGCTGCCCAAGCTGATGTAGCTTTCAAGGTCCAATTTCACCCCACAACTAGTTCTAGATGTATCCCGACATACGTGTTTATTGATGATACGGATTTAATGGCAGAGGGCTTGATAGTGCATGATGTGGTGTGATAAGACAACTTCTTTGACGTAAACACATGTTTATTGGTATGCTACCTTTGCCGTCTACATGCAAAGAAAAGCCAAGGAAAACATGACTTCCTGGTGGGCCGAAGCAATCTTAGCGAGTGAGAGTAAACAAAGAAAGACAAGGAAACGACCCGCTCAGCCACTGAACACTTCTCCGCCTAATGCGCCTTATGATCCGTTGGAATGACACCCGCTCTTGCGTACACTTCATCGTACTTACCCCTGACGAAGTCCTCAATCCTGATGGGCCCAAATTCTGGACCTACGGCGGGGTCGTAGCACGACTTCTTAGCCTCAATCATGTAGTCAGGGTTGCCCTACGAATCGTTAGCGGCTGCCTCACTTCCTGAATCTTGGTAGTTGAACTTACGTGGTACAAGTGCGCAATAGAGTGGCGGTCAGTACCAGAGAAGTTGAGTACCCGATGTACGTTCGAAAGGTACTTGCGGTTGGTCCAGCGTTCGAGCAGATTGCCAAGGTTGACAACAAAGGCGCCTTCCGTAGGCGGCACGTCGATCCAGGACTCAGACGGCGCGTCCCAGACTTCGAGACCGGGGTTGCCGTCTTGCAGGAGGAGAGTGACAAAGCCGAAGTCTTTGTGCTCGCCGTGGCCCTTCTGGCCGATGTCGTCCATCCGGGGTGGCTTCGGGTAATGGTTCATCTTGAAGTAGGTGATGGGCCCTTCAGTGAAGTGCTTGATGAACTCATTGGTCTCTTCGACATTGCCGTCTACCGACATGGAGACAGCTCGCAGCACTTCAACACTGAGGAAGTTGAGTTGCTCAAGGTAGTCCATGCAGACATCCTGGAAACCTTGTCCCAGGCTTTCGGGCCAGTAGTTCGGCCCGTGGGCGAACTTCCCAGCCACAACTTGCGGGTGGTCCCAAGATAGCTCAGGACCAACGTAGTAGCCCTCCTTGAGATCTGGCGCCGTATCTTCTTCCTTGTACTTTTGCGAAAGAAGAGTCTGGTAGCCCCGGTTGTGATCGTTCTGGCGCTGATCTAGCTTTGCCTATCAAGCTGTTAGCACGAATAATAAGATGTCTTAGAACTGCGTTAGCAAAGCATAGCAAGAAGGCTACATACTAGTAATAAGTTAGCAAGATATCTTAAGAGCTACTTGTGGCGGCTACTTTACCCTTCTCCTCTCGTGGAAGTGCGAAGAAGTCGGCAGAAGCCTTCAAAATGGCCTTCTGAGTCTCGAGAGATACCGGGTGGTTGATGATCTGGAAGAACCCATGCTCAACACAGGCCTCATGAAGCTCGCTGAGGCAGAACTTCACACGCTTCTCGTCTCCCGACAAGAAGTCACTGAAGTCGATGGTCTTGATGAGGCCAGGATCAGGCTTGTTTGCCCATGTTTTGATGACGCCCTGAGCTGTTGGCTCAGCCGATGAGGTCAGAACTTGAGTGTTGGCCATGTTGATTGGAGATGTGAATGGAGTGTAGAAGTGGAGATTGAATGAAGTACGTCAAAGCTTGTTTCTGATACACAGATACACCTTATGTTTTCCTATGGATCATTCATGTTATATGAAAGCTCAGACATGACGGTGACGTCAATAGTAAGTCAATACCAGTACAATCTGCGCCAGCGTATTCCAAACCGGATCGTTGCAAGCCGTATGAAGCTCATGTGTCTCACTTCCACGTCATTCTGCACCAGTGAAGCAGTCTCGACGTATGCTAGAGCTAGGCAGTGCGAATTCGGCATGCATGTGTTACCGAAATAAAGGGTGGAAGCGCCTCAATCTCATGCTTCCAATAGCATGTAGGCATGATGAGGCAGTTTGGGTGATGATTGCGCGAGACGCTGATGATGCATGGTATCGACGATCCACAGTATCACCCGGTGCCATGTCAAACCAAAGGAGATGCATACGCGTCGAGTGCTGATGAGGAGTCGATAATCGTGTAACCGATCTGCTCATCATGCTCGATGCCACCGAAAGGCGCTACGTACCTTCTCCCAACCGACGTCCCCATGGGGAACGAATCCATGGATGTACGAAAGATGCATGCGGCAGCCGCACGCTAGATTACTGCGGATACGCCCGACCATGGTTCATCTTCCTGTATGCGAGATCAATTAATTTATGCTAATCCTGGCAAGCACGCCAGCATCACGAGGTGCACGTTGGCCACTGTTTGGTTGACTCGGCGGTTACACCAGATTCTACGGGGCGGCCGAGTCGCTCATGCAGCAGCTATAGTCCTTTGAGATATTTGGTGCAATGCAAGCCAGCCGTAATGCTGACATGCAAGGCCCGGATTCAAGTGCTTATGGCGGTACTAGGTCGACATTTTGGCGTTCCGTCTTCCAAGGTTTCACCACAACCGGTGGGTTCACGTTACACAAGCGTCTCTGGCGTCAAACCTCACGACAAGTGCGGAGAATCTCACCTGCATCGCTATCATCGCTAGATTAGGCCACTACTTTCAATCAGTGGGGAGGTTGATCAGTGATTCCATACTGCGCCATTGAACTCATTTAAACAGGAGTCCATCAGATGTGCTTCTCCATCCATGATCAAGAAGCTTCACCGACTTCAGTCTTCAATCATAACATAATTTTGATCTAACCATCACCCATCATTCACTTCCTCCAACCATGGGTTCAATCGACACATTGGAGTCCTCTGTCACGAGGGCCACCATGTGTAAGAAATGCACCAATGGCAACAAAGTCACTATCGACTTTCCAGATGGGAGCTTCACCTTCCACTCTCAGTGGCTCCGTGATGCTCGTTTCGACAACGGTGCAGCCCGGAATGCCGAGACAGCAATGTGCCAGCAGCCGCTCCAACTCGCCCAAGTCGAGAAGGTTCGCACTTCAAGCTATGGTCTCAAGGAAACGCTTGACATCAGCTGGAAGGATGGAGTCAATACTCAGATCCCGCTTCCTTGGCTTCGTGTCATGGCGCCTCTGGTAGCTGCTCCAGCCGACGACCTTACCGCTTCGCCAGCCCAAGCCGAAGTCAAAGGTTGGACAGTTGACAGTCTGCATATCCCAGAGGTATCCTACTCGAAACTGTTCGCTGGAGAGCTCGAGCCCAAGGATCTTGAGGAAACCATTCTTTCCATCATCGACCGAATTCTGGGCTCCTCCGCGCCCGGTATTGTGAAGATCGTGGATCTTCCCGCTCCGAACATGGAAGAAGAGCACAGCCACAAGAAAAACATCAACACCCAAGTCCTCAAACGTCTTTTTGGTGCTGTCTTCGTCCACCCAATTCGCGGTGCCGATCAGACTTTCAACGTATCGAGCCACTCCGGCGATGCCAATCGCAAGATTGGACTACCCAATTACGACACCACCCAAATTCTTCTGCCGCACACTGACCATGCCTTCTACGACAACCCCATCCAAGTCCAGGGATTCTACGGCCTCGAAGGTACCAGTGAGAACACGTGGATCTCGTCCCTTCAAGCGCTCGAGACGCTGCGCAGCGAGGACCCAGAGTCTTATCGCCACCTATGCAACGCTCCCGTAGCGTTCGGGCGTGTGTCCAAATTCTACGGCGAGCCGCTGTATCAAGCCACCACTGACACGGCTGTCACCATGCACCCAGGCTATCCAGATCGCGTGAAGCGCGTGCGCTGGCATCCGAACTTGACTGGCTACCTGTGCAGCCCGTATGCCGACTACAAAGCCCATCGGCTCGCGCATCAGAAGTTTGAGGAGATCATGAGGCGTCCAAGCCACCAACTCAAGATTGTGTTGAAGCCGGGAGACCTGTACGTCTGGGACAACTTCCGGCTCATGCATGGCCGAGAAAAGGTTCTGACCACGCCACGTACGGGTGTTGGCCAGACGGTGCCTGAGAATGTCGTTCATGACCGATACCGGGCGTTGTGCGTCAATATGCTCAAGGGGCATATTGATGGTGATTGGCTGTGCCATATGCCCATGCAGCAGCTGCGTGAGCTCGTCAAGCTTTTCCAGGGTGGCCA